TTCTGCATCATTCAATAATTTGCCCAGAGAATCCTTCAATACCACAAGTCGAGGCTTGAATTTTTTTCTTCAGCTCCCCCAGCTTGAGAAATGCTGAACATGTTCTTCCTTTTTGGTTTTCTGACTCCAGATCTTTGCACATTTCGTTGTAATATTTGACTTTGTCTTCTTGAACTGACCTTTGAAATTTTCTGTGCAGCTCTTGCAACTTCTTATTTCTTCCATTTGCGTTAGCATCTCTACACTGGAGAATAAGTTTCAGAGTCTCTTCTGACATCCATTTTGATCTTTTCCTTCTTCGTTGTCTTCTTTAAAAAGTAGGCTTCTCTGCAGGTAAAGAAACAAAAATTCCACTGCCATCTAGTCGATTCTGACTCATAGTGATCCTGTATAGGGTTTCTAAGGCTGTAAATCTTATGGGAGCAGAAAACTTCGTCTTCCTCCCACACAGAGGCTGTTGGGTTTGTGTCTAACAATCCAGTGCTTATCCTACAGCATCACCAGGACCCCTTTCCCTATAGCTAGGTGAATCCCTGCGGTGGCATTGTATCATAAGTACTGAACAGCTAACCTCAAGATCAGCATTTTACACCCACCAGCCATTCCTCTGAAACCCTATGAGTCTTAACCGACTTGATGGCTCTTAACAATAGGTAAATTCCAATGTATGTCAGTACATACACTGGGAATGGTATGTGTTCACATGCACTGACATTGGGAGAACTGGACAGAGATTCAGAGAGTTAGCTAGCATTGCAGGGGTGAGGGTGGTGGTGGCATTTTTCTGAAAGAACCTTAGACTAACAAGATAGCCTTATATACATTCAGCCATCCCGTAATCTCCACTTCTGTTACATCTTTAACTAGGACACGCATATTACACAGGTTATCTTTTATTTTTGTGGTCCTTTTTTTGCTTCAAAGCTTCATCTTTGTGGGTGGGGTGGGATGGGAATGGGCAAGAGGAGAAAGTAAGGTTTGTTCCTAGATCTTGTATCTAGCCTTTGAAAAGTTCCCAGATGACACAGCTGTTTAGTCCACCACTAATTGGTGTGGCACTGCGGGTTAATGCGCTGGACCGCAAGCTCAGTTTGAACCACAAGGTAGGCAGTTCAAGCTCACCAGCTGCTCCTCAGAAACCCTATATTGGGTCGCTATGGGTCAGAACCTGCTCAACGGCAATTAACAACAACAAATCTAAAAATTGATCATTAGACCCCACCCAACAGAACCATGAAAGTAAGGCTTGTAAAGATTACATGTCAGAAACACTATTGAACGATTCTCTTCTATAACGCAAGTCAGAATAGACTTGGTGACAACAGGTATCTGGGTTCCTATAAACCAGACACTGTAGTTGACACTTTACATTTGATCTTCAGAATCATCCTGCACAACACGTTCTACAATTATCAACTAGTTTATGCTCGAAGAAACTGAATTACAGAGACTTGAAGTATAAGCATAACCAGAAAATGGTAGAGACGTTTTTAAAGCCAAGTCTGACTGATTTTAAAGACAAATCTTTCCATTAACGTAATGTTTCTCTTTTGTTGCCTTCTACAGTACCATGGTAAAGATCTTGGGTGGCGCTGTAGGATAAGCAATGGACTGCTAACCACAGGATTGGCAGTTCAAACCAACCAGTTGCTCCAAGGGAGAAAGATGAGGCTTTCTGCTCCTGTAAACATCTGCAGCCTTGGAAACCTTATACAGGGTCACTATGAGTCGGAATCGACTCCATGGCTGTGTGCTTTCTTTTAGTGAAGTACCATGACAAGGACCCAGGGACAGTTTGCACTGAGCTTAAATGTTGGCAGTTCAAATCCACCCAGAAGTAATGTGGAAGAAAGGCCGGAAAAATCTGCTTCAATAAAGATTACAGCCAAGAAATCTTTGGAGCACTTCTGTTCTGGACTTACCTCATAAGGTTGCTATGAGTTGGGATCTACTCATTGGGAATGGGCTTGGCTTTGATATCCTTTGAGCAGAAGAGAAATTCTTCTCAAGAGTGTCTTTTATCCAGGTCCTTTGAACTTTACTTTTATGTCATCTCATCTGTCAATAAAGAATAGATATTCACTAAAAGAATAATATAATTCTTAATCCTTCTATCCCAGGTGCACTTGTCCAAGAGCAGTATAATTTATTCAAATGGCCTGGGGCTTTGAAAGTCAATTTTCCATCTGAAAAATTGTCCCTTACCCCTAAGAGAGTGAATATTTTTTGTATTACTTCCTATGACTGACATTTATTGGACTCTAAAGTGTATTTACATTGTTGACTTAACTGAGAGTTCTTTGCAGAATCAATGCTATGCTGCATTTCTCCCTTGAAATGGCGTCAATATTATTCTTATTTTCTCTCTGCTCCCTTTTTTCTTAATTCCTTGCAGTCACAAAATTTTTCTCTGACTTGTGCAAATTTTTACTCTTAAAATTATGAAGGAAGAAAGTAAATGTTCTTTGAATCTTCTGGGAAATGTGTGACTCTTTAAACTTTATTTACGTCAGAACTTACTGAAATGAAGGACAAACGTTGTAGACAAGGTCTCCTGTGCCTTGCGGGTGTTCAAGGCTAGGTCTCCCAGAGGCAAGTCTGCAGTTTATTCTTGAAAGTTTATAGCTCACCTCCTGGCCGTTTCTTTTCAAGGGGCATGAGAGGGGGCTAGAAATAGAGCAGGGTGGGAATCTGACCTGTCGTGACCACTCAGAAGACTCTGGCCTGGAAAATTCCCCTTTATGTGGCAAAAACAAACATTTGAAATGAAGGGAGAAACCAGGCTTAAACAAAGAGTAAAACCAGTCCTCATTTCAATTCTCCTGCCTATAACCATATGTGCCTGCTTATTTGTTTCCCACACATCAGTTTTCCATCATTTAGACAGAATCTCAACCTGAATCTGCATAGATCAGAGGCTACAAATCTTTTGAGATTTGGTAAAACAGTCCATATGCATGCTTATAGCATTTTCTAGCATTTTCTCAAGGCTCAAAGTCAGTCTTCCAAAAGAAACACTAACATGGTGTTATGCAAATCTTTGCATGCTATTGTAGTTTTCAGGTAATGGTGATCTGTTCCTCCTCACCCCATCAGTCTGTGTGCTACAGGATGGACTTTTGGAGAAACAGACACATGGCAAAAGTCATCTGCTTTGTCTCTTGTCACTAGCAACTTTGTCCTGTGTCATCCATCCTTGTGGTGCCACCTTTCTTGCTCTCTTGCTGCTGAACTAGTTGCTGTTTGCCCAATGAAAGCTTCATGAGTCTTCTGCACAAACTTTAGTAAATGATTAACCCATGCATTTTTCTTTCCCATGGTCTCAACTTGGAGAATGAAATTAGTAAAAATATTTCCCCCAACACAACAACTCATCAAACTTTCCCCCCCACCTTCTTTAATGCTTTAGTAAATGCTTGTGAATTGTCATTTGTTGGCTCCGACTCATAGTGGCCCTGTATAGGGGTTCCAAGGAGTGCCTGGTGAGTCTGAACCACTGACCTAGTAGTTCAAACTGACCTTGCGGTGTAGTGCATTATCCTGCATCACTATGATTACTGACTGCTATATGTTTTCTTGTTGCCAAGGGTAAAACTAACGACCAGTTACTGTTTCCTCCTGTACTATAGAGATGAACAGCATGGACTCTAATCGTAGATTGTTTTATTTGAAGTCCGAATTCCTCCTTTGTGCTTTCCGAAAAAGTATTTAAACTCTTGGAACCTTCGTTTCCTAATCTGTAAAATGGGTGCAATGTTTGCTTATGTAGCACTTTAAATGGTTCGAGCACTTTAAATTGATTTTTTCAAGTTACTTTTCATAAGCCTATAATTTAGGTAATTAACATCATCCTTTTTTTAGATATATATTTTCAGATGAGAAAATGAAGACAAGGAGACATAAAATAACTTGGGCAAAGTGAAAAAAAAAAAAAAAAAGGTGGTAGTAGAGCTGGGTTTTTGAAGCCAGGTAGTTAGATTCTAGAAGTCATGTATTTACCGTTATGCTATATTGCATCTGTATTAGACGGCTGAATGTGAAGCATAATGTTTGGTACATGTTGTTGTTGTTGATAAGTACTGTTGAGTTGGTTCTACCTCATAGCGACCCTGTATAGGGTTTCTAAGGAGTGGATGGTGAGTTTGAACAGTTGACCTTGTGGTTCAAATGGACCTTGTGGTCCAGTGCCTTATCCCACAGTGCCATAAAGCATCTACTAAGTGTCAACTAGTATTAATACTACCATTACCTGGTCTCATCTCTCCTGGACTGGTTGGTTCCCCAACCCAACCAAAACAAATAAACAAAGCAACAAAAACTCTAAACCACCACCACCACCACCCAAACAAATCTAAAAGATAATGATGTAAGCTGTAGTAATGCCTAGTTCTGCTTCACTTTGTGTACTTAATATCTAAATATAAATATAGCAGAACCGTATGGAAGGAGACATTAAATGTTAATATCTTTTTCCAGAATGAGAAACTTATTTCCCTCCTATCACCACTCCTCTAGCAACAAGTAAAGAAAATCTGCATAACGTAAGAGAGAATTTTTAGAAGTTATAGAATTCAAGTAAAGTTGCCATCATTCTTTAATAAACAAGAGTAAGAATTTCAAAATGCTATGAAGGTTGGTGAGTAAAGACCCCGCTACTAGAATAAATTCCGTAGTCTCCACTCCTCAGCCCATTTTATAATGCCAATATCAGGGAGAAAGAAAGAGAAATTTCTGCAAATAATTACATCTTTCTTTTAAAGCAAGTCACTGACTTCAAAATTCTCTAACACATTTGTGCAAAATTTATTTTTTTGTTTGAGATTTATTTGAATGAGTTGTTATGATTGGAGACAGTGAGAATTTCAGATTAATGTTTTGCAGCCAAAAAAAAAAAAAAAAAAAAACAAAAAAAAAGAAAGAAAGGGGGGGGGGGACCTCTGGAAAGCTGGCAAGTGTTCATAAGTCAGTCCTAGAATTATGTAGGTTGAAGGCTCCCAGTGGACAGACCGAACATATAAGAAGGAAACCAGAGATCTGGTGCTATTACGTCCCCGAGTCTAAGGGAACAAAAAAGCACAGAATTAAAAGCATTCTTCAGGCTGAATTCTTAAGGTAAGTCTGAACCATTATATATACTCTAGTTGGGAAAGTAGAACATACATTAAATGAAAATATATTTTTTTAATGTGTGAACTTTCACTTTTTCCTAGATGATTTAACTGCTGTTTCTGTTCCAGGGGTGCGTTTCAGGATCTAGACAAGCTGATTTATGATAACTAAGTTTTAAACTCCAACAACCAGTAAGTCTTCAAGTGCTATTTATTTGCAATTCCTTCATGTCCATTGTTAAGTCAGGGAGATTATGAAGTAATGAGCTGTAAACAAAATTATATTTGTGCTGTTTATTAGTTGATTTTTTTGGAGATTTCATTTTTAATTGGGGGGAGTTTGAATGTATTTTAAAACTCTGTAAAGTAATAGTCTTTCCCTTAATGTGTTTACCTTCAGTTAATTTTCATTCTATTGTTTTAAAATAATGTTGTTAGTGAGTAAGCAAAGCAACCAATATCATAAGCACTTGAAGTTTGATTATAACATTTGACAGCAACTGATTATTTAGTTCTGTTAAACTGAAAAGATAGCAACGGAAAACTGATGAAACGATTATCATGATTAATTCTTGATGTTGAATTGCTATTTCATTGAGTAATCAAAACTATTTCAACTTGACCCTATAACAAATTTGGTTGTTTGTGTTGTTGTTGTGTTTCACTAATTGAATTGAATATGAATTATTTTTTTCCATTCGCTAGAGTAAGCTTCAAAATGCATACACACACATATATGTATAAAGTTAATATTCTCTATTAAAATTCAGACAGAAATATGCACATATTCCATAACTTCCTCTCAACCATGAATGTCCACAACAATATGTTCATTTTTGCATATTCAGTCTTTTGTATGCACCTTTATATTTTCCATAGCTTAGGTTACTTATATTTTCCATAGCTGTAATGATTTGTATATAATTAGTTACTGGAATAAGGCATTTCTCTCTGCAATAGAAGGCAGCAGTGTGGTTTCTAGAAAGTGTACAGGCTGAGATATGTACTCGAGTGTTTTTGAAATATTAACTGTTCTCATTTTTCAGTCCTTATTTGTTTGACACATTTCCTACCCTGAATAAATTTTCGAAACATTCGTTTTCTTTAAACCTGTGGAAAATATGACAGAACAAATGGGTAACGGGTAGTTCCGTTCAGAATGTTCAGTCTGAGTCAAAATGATCTTACTTTGTGCTACCATTGAGAAAATTGCAATTATTTCTTCAACAGGCAAAATCCATATTGTTATGTTTCATACTGTTTTCTATTAGCACCTCCTTTTTTTTTCTTTATCCTTTCAGCTAAGTGTCAAAATGTTCAGGACTCAATGACGTCCTATACTCTGTATGTGTTCTAAGGATTCCATTTTCTTTTTCTCATAGAAGTCATAATAAGGATTAGGGCTGCCGATATTTCAATATGAAGAGCAACCACACTTTCATCACCATCAGCGAAAACATGAACAGCAATCTTCACTTTGGACTTGTGAACAGTTCTGGAAGCACTGTGTCTCTGTTTAACTGCTCACATAAGCAATCAGATAAACATTTAGAGGCAGCTCCTGTTCTCTACTACATTATCTTTGTGATTGGATTTCTTGTCAATATTGTTGTGGTGACACTATTTTGTTGTCAAAAGGGTCCTAAAAAAGTTTCTAGCATTTACATCTTCAACCTGGCTGTGGCTGACTTACTCCTCTTGGCTACTCTTCCTCTCTGGGCAACCTATTATTCTTACAGATATGACTGGCTCTTTGGACCTGTGATGTGCAAAGTTTCTGGTTCTTTTTTGACCCTGAACATGTTTGCAAGCATTTTTTTTATCACCTGTATGAGTGTTGATAGGTACCAATCTGTCATCTACCCCTTTCTGTCTCAAAGAAGAAACCCGTGGCAAGCATCGTATATAGTTCCCCTTGTTTGGTGTATGGCTTGTCTGTCGTCATTGCCAACTTTTTATTTCCGAGACGTTAGAACCATTGAATACTTAGGAGTGAATGCGTGTATTATGGCTTTCCCACCTGAGAAATATGCTCAGTGGTCGGCTGGCATTGCTTTAATGAAAAATATCCTTGGTTTTATTATCCCTTTAATATTCATAGCCACATGCTATTTCGGAATCAGAAAACATTTACTAAAGACCAATAGCTATGGGAAGAACAGAATAACCCGTGATCAAGTCCTAAAGATGGCAGCTGCTGTTGTTCTGGCGTTCGTCATTTGCTGGCTTCCCTTCCACGTTCTGACCTTCCTGGATGCTCTGGCCTGGATGGGTGTCATTAATAGCTGTGAAGTTGTAGCAGTCATTGACCTGGCACTTCCTTTTGCCATCCTCCTGGGATTCACCAACAGCTGCATTAATCCCTTCCTGTATTGTTTTGTTGGAAACCGATTCCAACAGAAGCTTCGCCGTGTGTTTCGGGTTCCAATTACTTGGCTCCAAGGCAAGAGAGAGAGTGTGTCTTGCAGAAAAAGCAGTTCCCTTAGAGAAATGGAGACTTTTGTATCTTAAACATGAGAATGGAATGTGTGTTATCATCATGGCTGTTTGGTTTAATATCCACCAGAATGATCTTTTAATGGTTCTAATCAAATAATGCTTTTTTTGCCCCCTAATCTTTTCTCACTCCAGTAACTCTCAGTAATTGCCCCCTTTTTTTTTTCTGGTCAATGGTACAAGACTGTCATTGGTGAGTCATATATATAACCTGGAGGGAAGAGAATTTCCTCAAATTATAATTAATATTACATTGGATGTGATAACTTGGGGTTTCAGATTTCTCCTTGGCATAGGCTGGGGTTTCTTAGTGGGGTTTAGTACCCACATTTAATCTGGATTTTCTCTTGAACCAGGACCAGCCTTTTAACTCATTACATTATTTACAGGACATTCTGCTAAGAGAGATGAACACTTCTAAGTTAAGTATATTATAATAGATTGGTATTATATTATTCAGGCTCTGGGCTTATATACCTTTGACATTTAAAAAAAATAAAAATGATATTCCTTTTATACATCATTTAAGCATAGTTTATATTTAAGATATAACTATATATTAAGTAGGGCTAGGAATATAGATTACATCACATTTAATCTTATATTTTAGCTGAAGTAAAAAGTATAGTTTTATACAGTTATAAATAAAACATATTTGAGTGTTTTCTAAACTCTGAATAAATACTTGTTAAAAGAAAGTTTATCCATTTTAACTATTCTTTGAAGGTTTCTATTTTCTCTGATCACTTTTCAAAAATAATAAACACTGTGTATTGCTATAAATGTAAAGGTCACTTTTTATATTCTTGACCTTTTGAATGTGGTACTTTGATATATATGGAAATATCTGAGTGGTTTCTATAGCTCCTTAATTTGTCATGAAACTTTAACTGGTATGGAAAAAGATTATTCCAGAATGAGATTTTGATATTAAGAGGGGCTACAGAGACCCAACAAATGTTAAGTTTGATTTCAAGCAACATGTAGTTCTCAGCCATATTAGAACACAACACAGAAGAGTATCAGAAACAGCTGAATTGCCTAGGGTTTACTTAGAGCATGAACCCTACCTTTATATTTCAGAAACTTCATACTGTATCTGCTCTATTTTAGACCAGGTTACCTAGAACCTTTCTAGACCAATGCTGATCCCTAAGAGAAATCTAAAGGTTCAGAGGCATAGCATCTCTGCCGCGTTCCAGGGCCTGTAGACTGAAGAATCCTTTCACACCACTTCCTGGGAAAGTTCTGATTTCATGTTATCGTATTATACTCAATGAAAATAAGTAGCTAAATATATAGCCAATTATGAATTAAAGTTTTAAATAATTTTGTAAACTTTTCATATAAATAAAATCCTTGATTAGAAGATCAAGTGTGGTCATTTTTTATTGTAACTGCCTACAAGTTTAGACTTGAGACTTACCTGGTATGGCACTGTGGATCAGCACTGCACTGTGAACCACAAAGTTAGCAATTCAAACCCACCAGCTGCTCCTCAGGAACCCTATACAGGGTTGCTATGGGTCGGAGCCAACTTGACGGCACTTAACACGCACACACACACAAGTTTAGACTTGATACTTACCTTCCGTGTATCCTCTTTACAGCCCTCACTGATATTCCTTATCTTGACTCTAACCCTGCTTCTCTAATTAGTCTCAATCCTTTGATTCTTTAGCAATAATTTTCATTGCCTATGAATTCCTGGTGTGGATCAATAGGATAGACACTGTACCGTTGACTGTAAGGTCAGTGTTTGAAACTCATCAGCCACTCCTTGGAAACCCTATACAGGGTCTCTATGGGTCAGAACTGACTCGACAGCAATTAACAACAGCAACAGCAAACATAGAAGAAAAGTTGACATTTCTTATCATGGTTTACAAGGCATTGAGAGATTCCAACTCTTACCAGCCTTTGCGATTCTTCCCTTTATTTCCCATGATTTCTCCTTTTATTTGCCTCATCTACACAATGCTTGGGAGCCCCTCAACAATAACTATTATGAATCTGTTAGCTTTGATTTATGGCAATCCCTATGACCATCACTATCACTGGGAGGCTGGAGTCCATTTTTGCAGCCAATGTATGTGCCTTCCAACATAGAGGACTCATCTTCTGTCACTGTATTGGAAAGTATTCCATGTGATCCGTGGGGGTTTCATTGGTTAATTTTCAGAAGGAAATAGCCTGACATTTCTTCCTAGATTGTCTTAGTTTGGGATCTTCCCATTATGGCTGATACTGCTGGTATTTCAAATAATGGTAGCATGGCTTCCATGTACCAACAACTCACAACAACCCACAAGCCACCACAGTCAGATAGGTGATGATAATAGTAATAATACTGGCTAATATTAGGTTGGAGTCCTGGTGTGGAGCTGTAGGATAAGCATGGACTGCTAACCACAAGGTCAGCAGTTCAAACCCATCAGCTACTCCTTAGAAACTCTAAATAGGGTGTCTATGAGTCAGAACTGACTCAATGGCAGTTAACAGCAACAACATTAGGTAAGAATTATGTTCTAGGCAGCATACTATGTATTTTGTCAAGGACTTCATTCTTCTTGGATCAACCATCAACACTCATGGAAGCAGCAGTCAGGAAATCAAAGGATGGATTGCATTAGGCAAAACTGCTGCACAAGACCTTTTTAAAGTGTTGAAGAGCAAAAATGTCAGCTTGAGAACTAAGGTGCGCCTGACCCAAGCCATGGTATTTTCAATAACCTCATATGCATGCGAAATCTGGACAGTGAATAAGGAAGAACTGATGCATTTGAGTTATGGTGTTGGAGGAGAATATTGAAAGTACCATGGGCTGCCAAAAGAACTAACAGATCTGTGTTAGAAGAGGTGCAGCCAGAGTGCTCCTTGGAAGCCAGGATGGCCAAACTTCGTCTCTCCTACTTTGGACATATTGTCAGAAGGGACCAGTCGCTGAAGAAAGATATCATGTTTAGTAAGGTGGAGGATCAGAGAAAAAGAGGAAGAACCTCAGCGATTGGCAAAGTGGCAGTGTTAATGGGCTCAAGTGTGGCAACAATTGTAAGGTTGGCCCAGGGTCAGGCAGTGTTTCATTCTGTTGTGCATAGGGTCTTTATGAATCATAACTGACTCGATGGCACCTAACAAGAACAACAACAACATATCTTTTTATTCTCATAATGACTGTACTCATGTTTTAGAAATATAGAAAACTAGTTACCAAACAAACAAACAAACAAACGTGAAAGAAAACCCATTGTCGTTGCATCAATTTCGACTCATAGTTACCCTATAGGACAGAGTAGAAGTTTCCAAGCCTGTAATCTTACAGAGGCAGACTGCCGCATCGTTCTCCCTCAGAGGCCCTGGTAGGTTAGACCCACCAATCTTTCAATTAGCAGTTACCACCAGGGCTCCAAGGTACAGAAAAGTCCCTAATAATACTTACATTTAGTTCCAACAGATGGCTTTATAACTGTATTATTAAGCTGTATTTTTCCTGATGTGGCACTGTGGGCTAATGCGTCACACTGCAAAGTCATTTGAACTGCAAGGTCAGTGGTTTAAGCTCACCAGCGGCTCCTTGGAACCCCTACACAGGGTCGCTATGGGTCGGAATCAACTCGACAGCACTTAACAACAATGCTTAAATATAAGTCTTAGGCAATTAGAGAAGTATTTCAGAGAGTTTTATACAGTCCTGCAAACTGTCTCCTACCTCTTCCTCCTTGAAAAAAATCCTTATCTTCAGCAATACACAAGCTTCTGGGTGGTAGTATATTTATACCTATGTAAAAAAAAAAAAAAGAAAGAACACCATCTTTAAACCAAACAATAGTTTAGCAGTAAAGAATGCCCATCTTGAGTATTGTGCTCTTTTTAAAAATTGCCTCTCTATGATCAAATAGATAACTAGAAAGGCCACATATGAAATTTCAGAGGCAATGAGTTTATGTTAATAGAGGTGGAATAATTTGGAAAAGGATAGTGAGAATGGTTGCACAACTTGAAGACTAATCCATGCCACCAAATTGGACATGTAGAAATTGTTGATTTTGTGTATGCTTTTGTATGTAGATTTTCAGCAAAAACAGAACAGGCAAAGCAACAGCAAAGAGAGATACAAATACACACAGAGAGAGGACACAGATGGAAGAGGGATAAGACTCCTTTGTCTTCTGTTGCTTTTCTCGTTTGCTCCATGCTACAAAGAACTATGTGAGGTAGCCACTCCTCTAAGGTGCTTCCTTTGTCTCATACACAACGCAAGACAGAGGCCGGAATTGTTTTTAATGAACAATAATGTGAATTGAGATTATATAGTTACCAGAGAAATCCATCTCTTGCCACTTACAGAGGAAGTTTTGATTCAGAAAGGTAAGTGTTAACTATTTCCACATTTTCTATCCCTAAGTGGTTACCAGTCTTGCTGCTATCTTACAGTCAGCAGTTTTAAACTATCAACTGTTTCATGGGAGAAAAATGAGTCTTTTTGTTCCCTTAAAGATTTACAGCCTCAGAAACCTTATACAGGGTCACTATGAGTCAGAACCAACTCCACAGCACACCACCACCACCAATTTAGAGTTATTAAACAAGATATCTTGGAAAAATCCTTTATTTTCCCTTGTCCTTCTAGGTCTGTGTGAAAATCAGAGGACAATAGGAGGGTGAGCAGATTCTGTGTTGATTTTTCCTTCTTTCTTTTCACAAGAACCTGAGAGTGGGAAAGTGTCTGATGGCCTCACATATCAAGAAAATAAAGCTTTAACCTTGAAAAGGTGAATTAACATATGAGAAGACAAAAGTAAGGAAAGCATGAGCTAATAAGGAAAATGTGACTCCAGGTAGTGGAGTTATTATTGTTGGGGGCACCCAGTGTGGTGTTACCACGGTTCTATGGACCATTTCTGTTACCAGACCATACAGAATCCTTAACAATGTTCATTATAAATTTGAATCATAGGATAACATGTGAAAAGTAGAGTTGTAATTTGCTTAAAGGTAATATTTATTAGGTTTTATAAATATTAAAATCAGAATTGTTTTGTCAAATTGACATATAATTGTATTATTAGCAACTGAGCAGATGAAGCCTGTTTTCATTTCTCTTCTCTTTTAATGATTTCTTTATTCTAAAG